ATTTTTTTATTATAACTTAACTTAGATTTAATAATGGAGTAATTTATTTTTGATTTAATAATATATAATTTTTTATAAGAATAATAATTAAGTATTCTGTTAGAACTCAATGATTATTCTAATTACATTTTAGATTTTTTATATTTAAAATGAAATGTTTATCTTGTATTTGACTATGATTATCTGCAGTTAGTTACACGAATTCAAATATGAATCTTTAATAAGTTGTACCTATGTACAATTTGTTTGTAACCTTGAATTTTAAGTAATATACATCAATAAACAGTACTTCATGCATAAAAAATGGTTTTCAAGAGTTTTTGTGAAATGCTTTATAATATAGTATAGATTTCTTATATTTAATGTTATTATTTTTAATAACAAAAACCATCAATTAAATATATTTTTCATATTTATCAAACACCTTTTTGACGTATGGTCTTAGCCGGTTAGCCCTACAAATTCTCAGAACGGGCTTAACTTCTTGTGGTCGATTTTGTTGTTGTTGTTAGTTGTTAGTTGTTTAATCTGATTTTGTAACTAAAACAATAATAAATCTTTTGTACATTATTTATGGTTCTTAAAATTGATTCATCAAAATAGAAATCAAGGGGCGTTTATCAAACGTTTATTTCTTTAATTCATTTTTTATTTAATATATTTTTTATAAAGATAATAATTAAATATTTTGTTATAATTCAATGATTATCCTAATTATATTTTAATTTTTTTATATTTAAAATGAGATGTTATCTTCTCGATTATATTTATCTGCAGTTACTTACAATTTTTAATAAGTTGTACTTACGCACAATTTATTCAATTAGATTTTAATGAATTAGATTTATTAACCAAAAATGTATAAAAGTTTGAAATGAATATAAGATAAAGAGAAGGGGGGAAATGAAAACAAATTAGGAAAAGCTTCATGTGCTTACCAAGTCTTTATTCAATTAGGGTTCGTTTACCAAATGTTTATTTGGGTAAGAATTTATCAAATCACATTACATTATCGGAAAAATATGGTAAGAAACAAGAATCTTATCCGGTTAGAGTGAGACAAGGACCAATAGTCTAGTGCTTACCAGGTAAATTTGTTGCATATGATGCCGTTCTGATTGACTAAAAATTTTACCGGGTAAGTAAATGATAATGTTGATTTTTCCCAGTAAACACTTACCAAGTAAGTGTTTGGTAAACGGTCCCTTAGTCATTTTCTACGATTCAATCAGCCCATTTAAAAAGATTTTCCAAACAGTTAAAAGTCATTGAGTAAGCTTGTATTGGAGATGTTCTAACACTTAACCTGCCCCTGTTGATGGAAAATTGATCAAAATAGACAATTTTTCCAACCAAATTTATTTTTAGCCATTTTTCAGTTGAATTCACATTTTAATGAGAGTTTACGCAAATGTCTTACATATTTACATAAAGCCTATTTTCAGATTGGAAAAAGAAGAAAATTTACGAAATTTTTTTTGAGTAATGAAAATAGGGTTTATGCAAATGCACAAGGCATTAGCATAAAGTCTGGCTAAAATGGGAATTCGGTTCCAAAAGTGGCTAAAAATGCACTTAGTTGAGTAGATTGACTATTTTGGTCAATTTCCCATACTATTTTTCATTTGAGGTACTTGTAGTTTATTGTCGGGTAGGCTAAATGCACCCCTACTTACTAATTTCTTCATCACTTGTACTAACATAAAAACTTACTTTTTATATTTTTAATGTGTGATTTCGCCTGATTCTGACATATATAGGGGTGCACATAGCGACACCCTTGACTATCCCATCGTTATGATGGTTGTAGTTAGGAATGTATACGAGTTGGGTTGAACGGTTTGCAACATTTCAATAATCCAACCCAATTATGATGGTTTTGGGAAAATCTTAACCCAATACTCTACATAAATTTTAGGAACGAAAAGAAAGAGACACATTACTATAAATTTACCAAGCCACAATCATCTAGTTATATATTATAGCAGTTACAAATATATGTGAGAGACTTTTTTAGAGAAGCAATCCCAAACAGTAGAGGTTCTACTTTCCATTTTCTTAGATGGATTTGGTTCATTACTGTATTTACATTTAGGTAACGTAGGAGTATCGTACATCGCTTGATTCACCCCATTCATATAACAAAATAGAAACACTTGACAATTAACATGAAAAAAACCAAAAACTTAAATCTCAATTATTAGTTAGGAAACATGTCATGTCATATCATGATCAGTAAGAAATAATTTTCAATAGGTTCTGGAAGAGCAAGAGCATTTCATCATCAATGACAGGTGTCTATGTAACAATCAGAAATTTGATAAGTGAAATTACAAGTTTACCCTATTTTTTATCGCTTAAAAAGTTGTTTTTATTTTTATCTTGAAAATTAGATTGTTTTTTAGGTATATTTTAGACAGAAATGACTCATTTGGATGAAAGTCAGGAAACAATAGTGCCACGAAGGCACAATAGCTTTCATCCACTTATTTCATTTATATATATATATATAGACTTGGGATCATGTGAGACCAATGGTTTTTCGTGAGACCCGTAAGACCAATTCTCAACTCTTGGATTAGATTTACAATCGTCAGATCTGAACATTTATGAACGCCACAAGACTTCTCACTAATTACGAAATTGCCACCTTGCAACTTTGCAACCATTAGATCATTAATTCATAAATTTGATCAATGAACATAAATTGGTCTTACGGGTCTCACGAAAAACACTTGGTCTCACGTGAACCCAACCATATATATATATATATATATATATATATATATATATATATATATATGTATAGAGGTGGTTTGCTTTCGACATTGTGAAAAATGAGTATCCTCGAATATTTCATTGTGGTAGTGTTTTAGTCATCCCACATTGACGATGTAATGTTGGATTTGAGAATGGAGATGGATATAAGAAAGGAGGAGGGATGAGTTTGATAATTAAACTGTTTTACTTGGCTAAAAATGTCTGACCAACATTTCAATAAAGAAGTTTTACGAAACAGAAAAATCTTTATATCTTTATATGTATAAAAAATAATTAAGGGGATCTAAAACTGGCTCAAAATGAAGGCTTTATTCTTTATATCTATGCTATATTATAAAGTATTTGACTAAAACTCTTAAAAATAATTTTTTATGCATAAAGTATTGTTTATTGATGCATATTACTTGCAATTCAAGATTACAAACAGAATATGCATTAGTACATCTTGCTAAAGCTTCATATTTGAATTTGTGTAACTAATTGCGGATAAACATAATCAAATACATGATAAACATCATTTTAAATATAAAAAAACCTAAAATATAATTAAGATAATCATTAAGTTCTAACATAATGTTTAATTATTATGTTTATAAAAAATTATATTATTATTAAATCTAAATTTAATAGTTAATTTGATATTAATATCGATTTATTTATTTTCAAATTTTTATTTCATTAAAAAATAAAAACATTACCGTTTTCTTAAAACCACATAAAATCGCATTATATCAATAGAGACAAAGAATAAAAACTAAGCATTAAAATCGAGATTTATCTCGTTGTATTACGCGAATACCCTTCTAGTAAATTTAAAATGTGTTGGCTTTGGTAATCGCACACTGGTGAGAAGATGGTTTTTTTATGAAATATGTGACTATATATTTACAAGAGGAGATGATGCTTATTAGTGGCAACTCATAATGTTGGTTAATTTATCTTCAAAAACTTCGTAACAACAATAGTAATATGGTCGAGCGACATGACGTTAAGTTTTAAATAGCATAACATCAAATTTATTACCGATACTTCTCAAACTCTTCGTCACACCAAATAGTTCTCATTATGCGAAAATGAACCAATTATGGAAATACCTTTTTCGTTTTAAATCGTATCTTATTAATTATTAACCGAATAATTACGTTTTATGTTAACTCGGTCAAGTACTTAAAATATTTCTCGCTAACGTATAATGTAGAGGATCCACACTAGTTAGAAAT